AGAGAATCATTTCCGACATCTCCCCATATGCTTGCAGATGACATCAAGTAGAGTTCATGCCTTTTCAGATTTGATGATAAATAGTTGAAAATTAAAGATTTTGGAGATAAGGTAAAGGTTTGGTGGGAGGCAACTAATACAAGTGGGAAAGCAAACTTTAGAGTAGCGTATAAGTTAAATTGCACTAAATTGGAAATCAAGAAATGGCGTAGGGAGGAGGGGATCATACATGAAATGGAGACAAAGCTATTGCTTGAGGAAATTGAAGAGATTTATAGAGGAGAAGGGGAAGGGGTCTCAACTACTGCTGATATTGCTCAGAGGGAATCCTTAAAGATTGAGGTAGCCACCATAATTCAGATGGAAGAGATATCTTGAAGACAGAAATCAAGAGCCTATTGGATTGAGGAGGGGGATTGCAATACCAGGTTTTTTCATTTTTTGTCCAATCATCACATGAGAAACAACTATGTGGAGTCCTTGGTGATCAGTAGTAGTGTGGTGGAGGGCAATGAGGAGTTAAGGAGGGAGACTAGAGATTATCTTTGTAGGCTCTATGAGAAGAGTATGACTGGAGACTAAAATTGGATGGCATCAATGTTAAGGTCATGGATGAATCTAGCGAAGTTGAATTAGAAAGAGGTTTTTTTTTCTGAAGAGGAGATTCTCGAGGGTTTAAGGACAATAAAAGAGACAAAACACTGGATTCGGATGGTTTTAACATGGGTTTCCTGTAGGCGTTTTGGCACTTGATGAAGAGGAATGTTATAGAGTTATTTTAGGAGTTACATAAAGCTGGGTCTTTTGTAAATCTCTTATTTCCTCATTTTTAATACTTATTTATAAGATTGGAAGGGCAAGCAATATTAAGGATTTTAGGCCCATAAACCTTGTTGGGTATATATTTACAAGTTGATAGCCAAGGTCTTAGTGAGGAGAATGTCCCAGATCATGGATAAGATGATTGGAGAGGGTCAACATGCTTTTGTGAGTAATATAAAAGTACCTGATGGTGCTTTGACTGCTAATGAAGTTGTGGACAAGTTGGTGAATAAGAAAAGTGAAGGGGTACTATGAAAGCTTGATATGGAGAAGGTGTATGATTATATGAACTGGAGTTTCATGGACTTATGTTCATGAGGATGGGATATGGGGAGAAATGGAGGGGTTGCATTAAGTCGTATATCACTACTAAGTCCTTTGCAGTTATTGTCAATGGAGGTCCATCTTCTTTTTTCTGGGTTTCTAGAGGATTAATATAGGGGGGACCCATTATGTCATTTGTGCTTCATCGTGGTCATGGAATGTTTAAATAAAATGTTGATAAGAATCGAGGAATGTAATTTTTCAGAGGCCTAAAAGTGGGTGTCCAGGATAATGTGGAGGAGGTGATACACTTGTTCTTTGCTGATGACATTATGCTTTTTGTGAGTTGGATAAGAGAGTCATACTCAATCTCAGATGTGTTTCAATGGGTTTCCAAGTTGTCTCAGGACTCAACTTCAACTTTGTTAAATCATAGATGGTGAAATTGGGGAGTGAGGGAGACTCGGATAGTTTGGCAAGTGTTCTGGGTTGCAGAATGGTCATGTTACCAATTAGATATTTGGGTTTGCCTCTGGATACAAATTATAAGGATTTAAAGACTTGGGACACGGTGGTAAATAGGTTTGAAAAGAGACTTGTGGGGTGGAAGCGAGACCTTCTTTCAAAAGGAGGGAGACTCACTTACATTAAAAGTACGTTGATCAACTTACTTATTTACTATATGTCCATTTTTTACTATTCTGATGGGTATATCCAAGAAGCTGGAAGCTATCCAATGCAGTTTCCCTTGGGAGATACAGAAGATAGAAGAAAATATCATCTAGTAGCAAGAAATAAGCTCAAGAAACCAATACCCCTTAGTGGTTTAAGTTTATGGTCTTTGTTGGAAACGAATGAGGCAATGCAAGGTAAGTGGTTATGGAGGTTTATGAAAGAGGAGGGAGTGCATTAGAGAATGATCGTTGCAGCGAAATTCAATACTGAAGAGAGAAAATGGTTCACCAGATTAGCATCAAGATCTCATGGTAAAAGTTTGTGGAAAAACATAGAGGCAAGATGGGAAAAGTTCCAGTCATGCATTAGATGGAAGGTTGGTATGAGGGATAGTGTCAGATTTTGGGAAGATAAGTGGATGGAAGGAGACACTCTCCGGGATTAATATCCTCAGTTTTTCTATAGCTCAGCAGGAAGATGTAAAGATATGCGACTCTTTCAGGGAAGTTGAAGGGAAGGGAGATGGAGTAGCAAGTTTTGGTTTTAAGGAACTTGACTGATTGGGAAATAGGCGAATATAAGTTGTTAAGTATCATTTCTCGTGTCATTGGATGGTAGTAATGGTAGTCCAATGGAGCTCATTGAGAATAGGTTTTTCATAATCAAGTCTTTCTACAAGCAGTTGTTCTAGTATGATGGCACCAGTGTTAAATTTCTGGACAGATAAATTTGGAAGGTAATAGTTCCTCTCATGTACCATTTTTTGCGTGAACACTAGGAGGTAATGTATCTTAATAATTGACAAGCTAAAGAGGAGGGCTAAGATTTTGGTACATGATTCTTACTTCTATAAGAGAGCAGAGGAGAACTGTAACCATGTATTGTTGTGGTGCCCAGTGGTGTACAAGTTATGAACAATGGTTTATGGATTGTTAGGTATCAATTGGGTGATGGTAGGATCAGTGAGAGATGAGATCTGGGTGTGGAGGGGCATCAGGGGTAAGAATAAACATGCAGACTTGATACTGCTCACAATCTTTTGGGTAGTGTAGAAGAAGAGGAACAAAAGGGCCTTTGATGGGGTGTATGATGTGAATGAGTTTGATTTACTTGAGAACAGATGGTTCAAAACCTTTGATTTTTTGTTATTAGATCATTCTCCGTAGTTGATGAAGGATTTAGGGAACCTAATTGATAAGTTGATAGATATATAAATTCTTTTGTACATAGGTTGACACTTCATTGGTCCGCATATTGATATACTACTTTATACTTTTTATTTTAAAAAAATTAAGATGTTTAAAGAAAAGAAATTCTAAGGGATGTGACTATCCAACTAATTGAAAAAGTGACAGATGGAAGCAGTATGATATGGAAAAAGGCTATAAAAGTGAGAGAAAAGATAAACGACTGTAAAAGCAATATCACCAATGCAGGGATCTTTCAAGAATAATATATGAGAACTTTCAAACTAATTAGAGGGATTAAGAGATCATATAGCTATGCTATGGCTTTCTAGGGCTATCGTGAGTTGAGGTAACCCTAGCCTTAGAATCCTAACAATTCTTGTGTAATCCATACCCTATTCATAATTACTTTTTGCGACAAATAACAAGATTTTAGAGGAAATGCCAAGGCCATTTAGTCAATAGAGAAAGATTTTTGAAATAATTTTCTTAATACCCATGCCACCAACTTTTAAGAAAGGCAACAACACACCAAAGCACCAGATGTTTTCCCAAGGTCTCACATGATCTACACCATTAAAAATTCTACATGATTCTCTAGCTTCTTGGCCACCCCCTAGGATCCTAAACAAAGAGATAATATATAGGAACCAACTTGGATAAGAGAAACCTTGTCACTTAAAGAACACAAATTGGCCTTCCAACAATGAGGCTTGTAGAAATCCTACTTGCTACAGGATTTTGGAAAAGCTTAACCTGAAGGTACCCTCAAGAGGGACTCTAAGATTGGTGATAGGCCATATTAACACATTGGCTAATTAACCTTGCAAGCCTAGAGATGGCACCCTCCCTAGTGTTAGTCACCAGGATCCACTCTTAGCAAAGGTTGGCGAGTAATCCCTCAAAAAACTTGGAGTAAGATGAGCATATTATTGACAACCGAATTTTCTTTTTGGCGAATTGGAGATAGGTATGTGGTCTATGTTTGCCACATACCTATAGCCAAAATATAGGTATTGAGGGGAATAAATGTGTCATTTCAGAAAATTGATCAACCACTAGAAATATGGAGTCTACCCCTTCTTTGTAGGTAAATCTAACAGGAAATCCATGGTAATATTTTCCCAAGTACTTTTGGATAAGATAGATGCATATATAACCCTGTATTGGGGATTGCAAGTGGAATGACATCTTGATGCAAAACAAAAAAACTCTACAGTTGATATATTTTAATATCATGGGATATGTTTAGTTACAGTATTTATATATTAATAGGGATGTTAATCTCATTTAGGAACTATCAGAATAGATTTGTATTAGTTCTAACTGAAATGTAAATATTTTATACATGGGTGGCACCCCCATTGGTGCCGTATTATATACACGTTTTTTTTATCTAAAAAAAGAATAGTTTTGTACTAGTTTAGTATTTTTATCTTATTTAGTTATTTTTTTGACTGTTTTCCCATTTCAGAGTTCTGGGTATATTAGGCTATTTAGACAACCGATAAATACATGGGTGCTTTCTCATTATTAAACGGACTGCTTATGGATGAAATCATCATTTCTCTCATTGAATTGAGTGTCTAGCAACCATGTGATTGTGATTGTGACAACCCTGGGATTGTGCTTGTTGTTAATCTCAATTATTGCAGATTCAATTTATCTTTTATTTTCTTTAATTTTTCTCTTTCTAAGCCCAATACACTGTGCTACACAATATCGCTAGTGTGTGGAATTGTTGTAGCTTTCTATTGAATGAAGAAGGGGAGGAATGTGAGACTTGTCTTTTCATCCTGTGAACTAAAATGGGCTTTCTATATATTCCATCTATTGTATGTGGAGTTATTAATTAAAAAAAGGTCCTTGGGAGTTCTTATAACTGGTTTATACCAAAGATTACTCAAAATGTAATAGAAAAAATCATATCAAAGAAGTGGGAACACTATCTCATCATTTTAGTTCACAGAAAATTTCTATGTTTGAATTGCAATTCAAGAAAATTTAGTTCTTATATGTTTTTGACTATTCCTTTGTTAATCCTGCAGGGTACTGAGGTTCAGTTCATCTCACCTACTCAATGTTCATACCCTAGAAGTCCTGCTCTTGGACTTGGTTTAACTGCTGCTGTGGCCCTTATGATAGCACAAATAATCATTAATGTCACAAGTGGTTGTCTTTGTTGCAGAAGAAACCCTTATCCTTCAAACTCTAATTGGACAATAGCCTTGGTCTGCTTTGTTGTTTCCTGGTAACTTTCAACTACAATTTTATGATAATTCTGTTTCCTCTTACCTTTCCTCATATTAGTTTTAACATGTTGCCATTTTAGTTGCTCATTCCAGCTAATTTTTCAAACTATAGCACACTTCTGGTAGGACTCTGTAGATGCTCTTGTTCCTGATAGGCACAGAATGTGTCATAAAATGAATTAAGGTTGAAGGAGTTACCTCCAAGATCATCGCTATCAATAGCCTGCTTCAAGTTGGGTGCTACTTTTGTGGCATGGTTATGTATTCTAAATCTAGATTTGTCTTAATCATTACCGAAATAAAAGGGCTACCACTCGATAATAAAGAACAAATGATGTGTGTTCAGCCGATAGCTGTATCTTCAGGCTAGTTTTTTGTTTTTTTGAAATAGAAGAGAAATATTATTATGGACAATAGTATCAAAGGAGTACCGTCCGTGTACAAAATAGATTTACATATCAATCAAATGGTTGACCATTCCAATATCATTCCAATTTTTCATGTCATGACCTAATAATATAGAACCAAAAGTGTCAACTCATCTATCTTTAATTTTTACAAAGTCAGTTTTTCTATTATCAAAAACTCTCATATTTTTCTCCTTCTACACAATTCAAAAAATGGTAAGTGGAATTAAGAATAATTGTCTATTCTTTTTGTATATACCCGACCAAGCCTACAAGTCCAACATCCGCGTTAACCCAATTTAATCCCAACATCTCATAGACAGTTAGTCCAAATATTGTAAACAACTGGGCAATTGAGTAAGAGATGGTTGCATGATTCATCAGCACATTTGCAAAGATAGCATCTGTTAACCAAAATGTTGCCTTTCCTTTTCAACATATCAATAGTAAGGATACTTCCTCTAGCAGCTTCCCAAGCAAAAAAAGAAATTCTGGGAGGAGCTTTTAACTTCCAGATCTGCTTATAAGGTGCTGACAGCAAACCAAAATCCTCTTTATTGCATAAGAAATTGTAATATGACTTCACCGAGAAACCCTTCTACTTATCAAGTTTCCAAATCCTGCTGTCCCCATTTTCCATCAGCTTAATGTTGGTCAAACAACTCAGCATATTGCAGTATTCTTCCACATTCTCCACCATAATGTCTTTCTCTTGAGCAATGGAGAATATGTTTGGAAACCTTTCCTTCAGTCTACCCTCACCCAACCATTCATCCTGCCAAAAACGAATCTCCCTCCGATTCCCAATCTGCCACCCAACACACTTCAAAAAGCCATTGCCCCCCCCCCCCAAAACTAATTTTCTTCCAAGGACTCATCCCATGTGGTTTATATTTTTCTCTCATCCTCCCATCCCTTTCCCAATTCCCCCATCTCGCCTCCACCACCCTCCTCCAAAGTTTTCCGTCCTCATTACCAAACCTCCACAGCCATTTTGTCTTGAAGTGTATAATTCATCTTCACAATAGATCTAAGGCCCCCTCCACTAAAGGCTTCTTTTCCTCATTCCATCTCACCAAATGATACCTCCTATTCCCCTCATCATCACCCCAAAGCATCGGATCCTTTCAAGTTTAATCGTAACATTCGCCGGAATAGTTAATATAGAGAGGTAAGAAATTGCCAAATTTGACAATGTGCTCTTTATCAAAGTAAGCCTCTCCCCTATTAGATAAAAAATTTCACTTCCAACCCGCTAACTTCTTCTCAAACATGTCAACAACGGGTTCCTAAGTGCTAGCATCTTTGTATTTAGTACCAAG